AAAAAAAAAAAAAAAAAAAGAATGCAAAATATGTTTCTTATTTTTTATAGTTACATAAAGGATTTTTTTCTTTTTCAAGTGATATGTTGTGGTATATATGATATCCAAAGGAATTTTCTTGAATTGTCTATCCACAGTACCATGTTTCTGGAAGAATAATTTTATCTTTGAAGCCACTTTGGATCATTTCAATTAGATTTCAATATAATTTTTGCTTACAGATTGAGGATAAGGATAAGATATGTTATAGAATACTATTTTGTAGGCCAATTAACTGTTTCTACTCTAGAAGGGGATAATCTGTTTTAAGTGAACAAAAAAGAATTTCCATCCAATAGTTAAAAACTTTTTTTATTCTTTGGGGTCTGAGGAGAGAAAATTTAAAATAGACTACTTTAGATTTTTTTTTTTTTTTTGCCTCTGGAAATAGAGGAAGTTGTCTTTTATAAACCTGTTGCTGGCTGGGTTAAACAGGTAAGGCCTAGAAGAAGATGGTTTCTGCTGTAGCCTTGCTCAGGGTGGGGAAAGGATTTTGAGCAGTGGATCTGTCACTGTCTGGAAGAAGGGATGAAGGAGAATACCATCTGCTTGGACTTTTTGACAGAAAGTCAAGGATAAATAAATGTTGCAGACCTGAGGTCCTGTCTTCTGATGGACTCACAGAAGGTAGTGGGGTTAGTGGGCCTGGAATTCCAACCAACCTCAGGATCCAGGACTCTGCTGTGTTTTGTAGCTGGAGAAGGGGTTGGCAGAACTCAATTTCTTTGCTGAGAGCAAGTAGCAGCTCAGCCAAAAAAAGGACCTGGATTTCCTCAAGTCTGTAGCAGAGTCAGCTTTTTCTAGATTAAATTGATCCCCTTTCTCCCCATTCCTTACCTCCACATGGTCTTCAGACAGGCATGGTTGCTGACCTTCCTTACCCTCCTCAACCCCCTCTACCCTGTGGACCTAGGGTCACTTGGGTATTATATTATAAATAAACCTAATAGATGGCCAGCACTGGAGCCTGCACCAATTTAGAGCTCACGGTCATAGCATGACCATATGTCCCAGTTTGCCTGGGACAGTCACTGTCTACACCTGTCATTCTGGCATCGTTATTAATAGCTCTCCTTTTCACTCTCATCGGTGTCCAGGTTTAGACAATAAATTATATGGTTACTCTAACTTTTCATCTGAGACATATTCTTTGGTTTATACTGACACCTGTAGGCATACAAAATGGCTTGGGAGAAATGGAAAAGTAGAAGGCTCTCCCCCTCCTCAGTCTCCGGGATTGCCTCCAGACTCTACGAAAACCCCAATTGTTTGGTGTGATTCTAGAAAGGGGCAATGGCGGGGGAAGATTTCTCTTTGAGGCTGCTACAAACTCTGCTGCCATAAATGTCCAGGGTTCTACAAACACTTAATACTCCAAAAAGGATGTTTTGACCACTCCTGTTGGTGACAGGAGTCACCATCAGTTTCAGGTCAAACTATGAGCCTCCATGGCTACGTGAGCTTTGTAGATGTTCTCTGGATGGGAGATACAGCCACGCATGGCCTGCTCTTGGGGATCAGCAGTTGTCTGCAAAATGCAGGAAAAGCATCCTGTGGATGACATAGGACTACGAGCCAGGGGATTTTCACAGCTGGAGAGGCTTGCAAGGAGGCTCGAGCGGGTCAGTTTCAAGGTTCCTGGGCCTGTGTGTTGGAAATTAGGTCGCCCTTAGTCTGCCTTGACAAAGAAGACACAGGACATTGGAGGGCGATGTGAGATGCAGTACACGAGGGTCTTACCCTCTCATCTCCCCCGGGTTCCATCACGACACCTGGACTCCAATCTGAACATCAGACACAATACAAAGCACTTTTAAAAAATTAAATTCAGAGGTCCGGACAGCTTGGGCAGGACTAATTTGTGTGCTTGGCTGTCACAGTGATGGATTTGAGACAGATTAACCCTTGGGCTCCTGGGCCCGGCAGCCCGGGGTTGGAGGGGAGGGGGATGCATTTTCCCTGCATGAAATTACCTTTGTGTAGGGCCCTCTGTCCCAGCAGATGCTGCTCCCGTCTGTTCCCTCACACCCCTGGGCCAACTGTTGTAAACCCCAGAAGAGTGAAAAGAAGCAATTGCCAAGATAAGAAAGGAGGCTTGGAACTGTGTTTGTCCTACTCGGAGTCATTCAGAGTAGGAAAGGGAAACACAGGATGTCTGACTTCCAGGTATTCTTGTAGGTTTTTACGGGGGCTTTTGTTTTTGTCTTTTCTTATTCTTATATATTTTTAAGAGAGCCGTGTGTGGTGAAGTCTCTAGTAAGACAGAAACCTGGGGCTTCACCAGTTCCCTCTGAAAGGGGTTTGAATTGGCTTCTCTCAGACTCTCTGTGAGAAAATCCCAGCCATGCCCCCTGACCCGTGTCTTGGGGCTGTGGGGGCTGGGCTGGCTGCCTTCTGGCTGACACTCTCCAGCAAGCGGACCATAATGAGTCAATTCTCTGCTGTCTGCTATTTAAAACAACGGGTTCCTTCCTGTTTCCTACGCGCTGACTGAGGCGTCTTCTGTGTTAGAAAAAAAAAAAAAAGAAACCCAGGAATAAAGTGCCTCCTCTCACAATGAATGGGCTACACATTTCGGCCCGCAGTGACACAAAAGCTCCTAACTGTTTCATCTGTACAGATGGCTCTCATTTGGTGTTGGTGGCATGACTCTGTGAGGTAATTTCCCAAATACTTGGTTCATTTAACTGGAGGAGGGTACAAACCTCCTCTAAGCCAAGCTAGAATCCTCCAAGAAACAGAATTGCTCTTAGCCCTGAGTGTGAAATTTTTGCAGAAGTCCCTGAATTGCAGATGTTCCTCCAAGAGGGAAGGAGGGAGAGTGTGCAATCTCCCTGGTCAGAAGTGAGAACGGCCTGTGCTCTGATTCTTTGTCCCCCTCCCCAGGGCAATCCAGTCACCACTGGGAGTGAGCTACTCCCTAACCCCACATGACCCCATTCCCCGGGAGGGGCAGCCTGGGGAGTGACAGGCATGACCTCGATGGTGGGCCAGGGGCCCCCTCAGGTGAGTTTTGACCTAACTTTGACTCTCTCTCTATTTCTCAAACTAAGTGGGAGGGATGCTCAGAGGGAAGCCAGGTTCCCTTGGTTATGCAACAGTTGAGTTGCAAATTTCAGTAGCAATATAGGAGGCAAAGCAGCTCTGGCTTTCTTAGCGACACCACCCAGCTTCTGGGGCCAGACAGACACCAAGATGATTATCTCTCTGTGTGCACAGCTCGGTGACTCTGGGGGGCCCAGGCTTCGTGGGGGAGACAGACCAGCCTTAAGAATGCTCTGGAATGACTGGGACATTGGTTCATTCACTTACGCAGCAAATGCACTGGTCCCCGGCAGCAGCTGCGGATGCAGAAGATGAGAGCGTCTGGCTCCCTCCTGCAAGAGCTGTCAGATTTTGGATGGTGGGAATGTAAGAGACACATCAGGGAAGCAGGTTTCATGGAGGAGGTGCTGTTGGACCAGATCCTAAAGAGAAGGGATAGGACTATATTAGGGTGAAAGGGAGGACGACATTCCCAACAGAGGGAATAATAGAAGGAAAGGGGTCTTGAAGAGAAGGGATAGGATTATGTTAGGCTGAAAGGGAGGATGACATTCCCAACAGAGGGAATAATAGGAGGAAAAGCACAGAAGACATAAACATGTGGTATGTTTAAGAAATATAACAAACATCAGTGTCACGTCCCAAGTGCAAATATCGGCAGCAGGGACTGCACGTGTGAATAACTAGACGGACGTGCCCAGAGTATGGTGTGTATGTATGTGCGTGTGTGTGTGTGCGTACATGTGTGTGTATGTGTGTAGCGGGAAGCCTGTGAAGGGTATAGAACCAGAGGTTTGAAAAGACAGGCTAGAATCAGACTGAGAAAAGTCTGTTAGCAAAGGGAAGCCTAAAATGAAGCTTTAAAAATCTCAAGATCTGCAAGAGTTGGTTGGTTAGAATGAGATAATCAGGCTTGTATCTTCAAGTGCTCATCCTGGATACCATCTGGGGAAGGGGTTGGGAGGGTGCAGTGGGCAGGAGGCTAGGGACTAAGTAGGAGTAGTGGAGATGGGGTCACCCACTTCGTGCTTGGGGGTGGCGTGGGGAAGGGGAGGAGGTCCCCACTGACGTGGCAGAAGCAGGTTGGAGCACTTACCCAGGTGCTGAACTTGGGAGCAGTTCATCCAGGGAAAGAAAGTGAGTTAATGTTGTGAATTTGGGCTTTCAGAGGGACAGAAGGACCAAGCCCATCCTGCAGGGCTGTCAGGCTTTGCAAACCCTCGGATGGGCAAGTAGAATCCCCGAGACAGGGAAACGTCCTGCATGAACGAGAGGAAGGCCAGGAAGGAAGCAGAGATGGAAGAGATCGGTGCCTAGGGCCCAGCAGGAAAACAGGTGGCCAACCAGAGAGCTGGAATGAGGAGTAGAGGGACAGGGGAGCCTGGGGTCTGCAGCAGTGAGAGGTGGGCACACAGCCAGCCTGTGGGGTGAATGGCACAGGACACTAGAGAAGTAGGACAGGCCTCACGATGATTGCTGCACATCCCTTCTGCCTCTTGGCTTGGGTTTGGAGAGACAAGACTCAGGAGCTGTGGAGGTCGGTGGTGTGGAAGGCAGAGGCTTGGGGACCAGACTGGGATGAGGAGAGAGCATGAGTTCCCTGACATCCTCACCCACACTCAAATCGCAAGGCCAGCTCCACAGCCCATGCCTGAACTTCAGCTCCTGAATTCAGGAGGAATTAATGTTCTCAATGCCAATATGAAGTGCCCCCAGGTACCAGTGAGGCCATTCTAGGGCAGCTTTGTCAGAAATGCCTGCATTTTCTTGGTACCATTCCCATAAGAATGTTGGGTACTTCCTGCTGTGACCCTCTCAAAGCACAGGGCTTTCCTTTTTTCAGTGGGTTTTGACTTAAAGCCAAGGAAATCCTCATCGAAAGGGCCTCTTGACCACTTACTGGCCACAGGACCTTGAGCAACTCAATAACCTTCTCCAAGCCTCTTGGAGTTGCTGTGAGTGAGTGAGCTAACATCCAGGGCACTCCACACTGCCCCAGTCCACATGACCCCATGAGGGCAGGCATTGACCTTGGTTTCATTCTGTCATGTGACCAATGGTTACAACAGTGTCTGACACATAGGAAATGCTTCAAAACATATCTGATGAACAAATGAATGAATGGAGCCTCCTTTCATTCATGAAATTACCTTTGTGTGGGGCTCTTTGCCCCAGCAGATGCCTAATATTCTTCTGGCACTCAGGAAAAGTGGAATAAATGTGGGTTTCCTTTCTTTCTCATTTTTTTCAGCCCCATTTCCTTCCCTTTACCCCACACCTTTCTGTCATCTTGATCTCATTTTTACTGCCTTCCTCCTCATCCTTCCCAACTCACCTCTCACCATCTCTCACTCTCACTTTTATAAAAGGAGGAGCAAACAGCAGCTTGGTCACACTCTTAGTATTCTCTCACAAACACACTTTTTATTCTTTGTATGACCAGTCTGAGAGTTTTCCAAATATTTCTATTCTGCTTCCCTTTTAATGATAAATTTCATCTTTACATCATTTATCTTCTCTTGAATCTTACTAATCTTACTATATGCAATTCAAAGAAGCCACACAGCACCGTGAATGTTTTGCTGCTTAGACATTTCTTCCACTAGATATCGTAGTTCATTGCCTTTAAGCTCTGCCTTTTTATTAGTCTGTTCTCACACTGCTATAAAAAAAGAAACCCTGAGACTGGGTAATTTACAAAGAAAATAGGTTGAAATGGCTCACAGTTCTGCAGGCTGTACAGGAAGCATGACTGGGGAGGCCACAGGAAACTTAAAATCATGGCAGAAGGTGACGGGGAAGCAAGCACCTTCTTCACATGGCAGAGTGGAAGACAGAGCAAAGGGGGAAGTGCTACACAGTTTTAAACAACCAGATCTTGTGAGATCTTGGCTTAGGTTTGTCTCTCCAAACCCAAGCCAAGGGGCAGAAGGGATGTGTGGCAATAGTCGTGAGGCCTGTCCTGCCTCTAATGTCCTGTGCTGTTCACCTCCCAGGCTGGCTCTGTGCCCACCTCTCACTGCTGCAGACTGCAGGCTCCCCCGTCCCTCTGCTCCCCATTCCAGCTCTCTGGTTGGCCACCTGTTTTCCTGCTGGGCCCTAGGCACTGATCTCTTCCAGAGAACAACCAGATCTTCTGATCACTATCAGAAGAACAATAAGGGAGAAATCTGCCTCCATAAGCCCAATCACCTCCTACCAGGTCCCTCCTCCAACATGGGGAATTATAATTTGACACGAGCTTTGCATGAGGACATAGAGCCAAACCATATCAATCCACCCCTGGCCCCTCCCAAATCTCATGTCCCTTCTACATTTCAAAACATAATAATGCCTTTCCAATAGTCCTCCAAAGTCTTAACTTGTTCCTGCATTAACTCAAAAGTTGACGTTCAAAGTTTCATCTGAGACTAGGCAAGTCCTTTCTGCCTATGAGTCTGTAAAATTAAAAACAAGTTAGTTACTTCCAAGATACAATGGGGGAACAGGCATTGGGTAAATGCCCCCAATCCAAAAGGAAGAAATTGGCCAAAACAAGGGGACTACAGGCCCCTTGCAAGTCCAAAACCTAGCAGGGTAGTCATTACATCTTAAAGCTCCAAAATAATCTCCTTTAACTCTGTGTCTCACATCCAGGTCACATTGATGCAAGGGGTGGGATCACTAGGTCTTAGGCCACTTTACCCCTGTGGCTCTGCAGGATACAGTTCCCACAGGTGCTTTCACAGGCTGGCATTGAGTGACTGTGGCTTTTCCAGGCACACGGTGCAAGATGTTGGTGGATCTACCATTCTGGGATCTGGAGGACAGTGGCCCTTTTCTTACAGCTCCACTAGGCAGTACCCCAGTGGGGACTCCATGTGAGGGATCCAGCCCCACATTTCCCCTCTGCACTGCCCTAGTAGAAGTTCTCCATTTGGGCCCTGCTTCTGCAGCAGACTTCTGCCTCCACATCCAGGCATTTCCATACATCCTCTGAAATCCAGGCAGAAGCTCCCAAACCCCAACTCTTGCCTCTGTGTACCCACAGGCCCAACACCACATGAAAGCTGCCACAACTTGGGACTTTTACCCTCTGAAGCAGTGGCCCAAGCTTACCTTGGATCCTTTTAGCCATGGTTGGAGCTGGAGTGGCTGGGATGAAGGACACCATGTCTCAAAGCTGCACAGAGCAGTAGGGTCCTGAGCCCGGCCCATGAAACCATTTTTCCCTCCTAGACCTCCAGGCCTGTGATGGGAGGGGCTGCCCCTAAAGTCTCTGAAATGCCCTGGAGGCATTTTCCCCTTTGTCTTGGCTATTAACATTCCGCTCTTCTTTACTTATGTAAATTTCTGCAGCCTTGAATTCCTCCTTAGAACATAGGTTTTTCTTTACTATTGCATGTTTAGGCTGAAAAGTTTTGAAACGTTTATGCTCTGCTTCACTTTTAAATATAAGTTCTAGTTTCACATCACTTCTTTGTTTATGCAAATAAATGTAGGCTGTTAGAGGCAGCCAGGCCATGTCCTGAATACTTTACTGCTTAGAAACTTATTCTGCCAGATACCTTAAATCATTTCTCTCAAGGTCAAAGTTCCACAAATCTTTAGAGCAGGGGCACAATGCCTGCCAGTCTCTTTGCTAAAGCATAGCAAGAGTGACCTTTACTCCTCCAGTTCCTAATAAGTTCCTCATCTCTATCTGAGACCACCTCAGCCTGGATTTCACTGTTCATATCATTTTCAGCATCTTGGTCACAACCATTCAACAAGTCTCTAGGCAGTTCCAAACTTTCCCTCATCTTCCTATCTTCTTCTGAGCCCTCCAAACTGTTCCAGCCTCTGCTCATTTCCCAGTTCCAAAGTCGCTTCCGCATTTTCAGGTATATCAATGCCCTACTTCTCTGGTATCAATTTTCTGTATTAGTCCATTCTCACACTGCTATAAAGAACTACCTGAGACTGGGTAATTTATAAAGAAA